CATGGAGGGGAGTGGATTTAACAATTTCTGGCAAGAGCCAGAAGCCGTCCAGAGGCCAGTCTGGTAAGGGGCGTGAGTGTCACCGTGTGGGGTTAAAAAGGGCAAAGGAGAAAGGCGTCTCAGGCGTGGGCTGAGGCTTTGCAGGCCGCGCTCCAACAAGCTGTGTTCCTGGAATAAACCTATAGCCCCCTGGAGCGGCTGCTTTTAAGCCTCACTTCAAACTCTCCTTTTCTCCTGTAGATGTGCGCTGCTTTCCCCAGAGGAGCACGGTCTCACCTAGAGAGCCATCGTCTGCTAAGGATCGGGGTCAAGGTGAAGACGTGAGGTAGACAGACTTTCTCAGTGACCCGAGGAAAGACCTGAGGTAGGCAGTGGATGTGCGGGTGTCCCTCCCCCACAAACCTCACTTAGGCCTCACCCTGTCTATGGATCTACCGCATATGCCCTAGAATAAGGTGTCGCCAAACACGAGACCAGCTTCATTTTCCAGTAAGTCCTTCCCTTCGCCTCCCCCAGGTTTTAGAGACGCAGCAAAAAAATCACCAATGATTTAGGTACCAATACTTTATCAGTTTAGCTACATATATTTAAATGATTGTGTGTACTTACTAAATTGATACATTAATGTCATTTATATATTATTTTAAGTTCATATAAAGAAATATGACTATAGTTCTATTTTTTCCACTCTCATATTTTGACTTTGTCCCAAGCCAAGCACATCATTAAAATCCCTTCTTTGTTCCTTTTTCCTGCCATTGCCTATTCTCAGCATCTACTACACAACCAATTACTGCAACACTTTAAAAAGTGATGCTAAAGGCACGTTTCAGCACTCACTCTTGCAACTGTGAGGCTGTCACCCAACTGAAAGAATATTAAACGTGTTAAAGTTCCCTGGTTCCACTTATAAACATCAGGATCTGCATTGGTTAAGGGGTTTCAGGATAGTGTGTCTTCTCTGAAAAGAACAGTGTTATTTGATATAAAATGATGAGAACACCCCATAGGAGGAGATGCTGAAAGTAAGATGATTCTTTTTCCAGTGAATGGCTCTGGGGAAAACCTTACTTGGCACTTGAGTGTACCCAGAGTTAACGATTTGTTCTTCGTTACCCCACAAAGACTGGACATCTCTCTGAATTGTCATGTCTTTTGACAGGGTAAAAATGGATTACCAATGAAAGTCAGAGTTCACAGGAAGAAATTCGAGAGAAAGACAGGATAGGGGCCAGAGAACGGAGGACCGCTGATTTTTCTCGGTGTGCAGTAGGGGAAGCTAAATCCAGTGCAGTGTTCCCTGGAGATGGGAACACGTGCCCAGGATCACAAAACAAGTCCCAAAACACTCTGCATTTTTATGTGTGGAAAAATAATAGAAAATAGCAGAAGGAGAGGGGGAGGAGGAAAGTAAGCGGGCAGGGCAGGAGTCTGTTTAGTTAAATAATAATGCCACTTACACCTGGGCATGATCCAGATGCTGGCTTTGAGAGTGCAGACGTTGGGTTCTTGCAAACCATCAGTTTTGATGTTAACCCCATATTGACTCTCTCTATGGTATTTAGCATCCTGGCTGAAGCTGATGTTCTAATCCTGGCTGGGCCCCCAGGGTTTGCGTGGCCTTGGTGGCTCTCCTCCTGTGTCCTGAATGGCTCATGGTTTTGACGCCTTCACGGGGCAGCAGCATTCCAGTAAATGGCAGGCTTCCCGCTGCTGGCAGCTGCGTCCTGGCCCCCACATTTCATTCTGGAGAAAGAATTAGAGGCACTCTCCGGAGGAGGGTAGAGAGCCCTGGTTTTAGATTTCTCTTCCTTTTCTACTTTGCTGGGTCTCAAAATAATGTCCACAGCCTGCTAACCTGGCTTACTACACCCCGATACATAATAACCTGCTTCCTAATGTCTTCTTCCTACTCTGTGAGCACTTTCCCTCCTAATTTTGGACAGTCACCAGCATGGTTGAGAAATTGCATTATATCTTTGAAAAGAGCCGACGTGGATAAATAGTCTTTTCTGTTTTCTGCATATTGTTTAATTCCCTTCACAGTGCTTTATTGGCCAGAAATGTTGATACCATGTGGATTTAAACATCGTGAATAAAAATCCCCTTTAGTCCCAGGAAAAAGAGTGTGTGTGAGCCTTCTCGAGGAAGCCTGGGCAGGCAGCGAGTGGTAGTAGCCAAAACTGCGTGATGAGTGCGGTGGGCTGGCGTGTCATTCCTGCTCCCCTGTCTCCAGACTCTGGGCCAGTCTCACAATCCCTGTGGTTGTCCAGCCTCACGGTAATGAAATGAGCTGACTCTCACCTCTCAGACTTTGTCAGGTTCTCACATTCTATGATTTCAAATAGTGGTGACGGCTGGCTACTAAACCAGACACTGGGGACTGGCATGGCTCAGGTCTCTGAGGCACCCATCAAGCCTGACCTATGGGCACTGTATTCACAGGTGACAACACAGAGGCCTAAGGGTTGAGTGACTGTCCTAGGGAGGGCAGCTTTTCTTTAACTGGGTGCTGGGTAATGGGTAATTCTTTCCTGAAGAGTCGAGACAGACTTCAAAGAAACAGGAGACAGATATCGGCCAGAAGGTTTCTCAGCACACCTCCTCCTTTCTTCACTTTGTCTGTGTTTAGGCTCAGGCGGGCGGAATTGAGCCATTAAAACTCTTCTCTTTGGGATCCGTTGTCAACCTCAGTCCAGGCAAGGCCCCTCTTACCATTTTTATATTTCCCCCTTCATCCCTCGTCTCACTCCCTTCCTCTGTGTGCCTCTCTATAGTGTATTTCATTTGCGCACTTGCAGCCTGTCTTCCCGGTGTTTGTTTAGACATGCAGATCCTTTAAAAACAGTGTTATTTTGTATGAGTGGTTTTCATTTACATAAACACCACCAAGCTTTGAATCCCATCCTTTTGTATTTATTTACTCAACGCTTTGTTTTGAGATCCATCCATGTGCACTGTGTAAATCTTGTCCATTATGTCTGATGGTCACACAGGTTTCCATCATATATCATATCATGTCATGTCATGTCATGTCATGTCATGTCATGTCATGTCATGTCATATCACACACTTCCTTCATCAGTTTCCCTTATCAGTGGACATTTAGGTCGCCTCCAAGTCCTTGCTACCACAAACAACTGGGCGTGAGCATCCTCTAAGATGTCTTGTACTCACTTAGACGAGTCAGGAGTAGGATTTGGGGGTTGTCGTGGAAACGCATTCCTAATTTCAATAAGCACTGCTAGGTTGCTTTCTGGAAAGGCTGCCTTGCTGTGTGCCTCCCCAGTGGCGTACGAGGGCCACTGTTTCCCTGTATCCACACCAGCGCTGGTCATTTTCTGGCTTCTAATTTTTGCTGTGTTAAGTGTATATCATTCTCGTTTTAATTTACATTCATCTGATTACTAGTGAGGGAGAGCCTTCTTTATATAATTATTAGGCATTTGGTCTTTCCTCATGTGATTTGTCTATTTAGGCCTTTGCCCATTTTTTTTCTTACTGTGTTTCTTAACTTGGTGGTTTTTATAATACGGCTTTTTAATTTGTCTTATTATCTGTAGGGAGGATTATTCTTTCCATGTTCTCTGCTTTGAACTTCAGTTTCAATGTTGACTTAACCAGATTGCAAGAATTTCTTTATATATTTGAAAATTTCATTATTTGTGGGGTTTAGCTATTGTCATTATTTTTTCACAGTCTGCCATTTTTTGTTAGCTTTTTTGGTTTTGCCATAACTCTGAGAATTTGTATTTTCCTACATAAATTCTAGAATCTATTTTATGTTTAAAAAATCCTTCTGGGCCCTAGCTGGTTTAGCTCAGTGGTTAGAGCATTGGCCCCAAGACTGAAGCATCCCAGGTTTGATTCTGGCCAAGAGCATGAGCTTCAGTTGCAGGCTCAGTCCTGGCCCGGTCAGGGCACATGCAGGAGGCAACCAACCCATGTCTCTCTCACATCCATGCTTCTCTCTCTCTTTTTTTCTCTCTCTCCCTTCCGCTCTCTCTGAAAAGTAGTGGAAAAAATATCCTCGGGTAAGGATTAAAAAAAAAATCCTTTTGGGATTTTGATTGTAATTGTACTGAATTTAGGGATTAATCAAGGAAAAATGAACTATATATTATGTAAAGCAAGCTGTTAATCTGTGTGGTATTTAACGGTCCATTTATTTAGGTTTCCTGGTATGTGCTTTAATAGTTTTAAATTTATTCTCCGTAAAGATCTTGTGTTTTCTTTGGTTAACATCTACATACGTTATAGCTTTTGGTGCTACTATGAATGGTACCTTATATCCTGTTATATTTTCCATTGGGTTATTGCTTGTTTATAGGAATGCGGTTGAGTTTTGCATATTGTTTTTATATCTAACGGACTTCCTGAACTCTCTTTTAATTTTAGTAGTTTACTGATTTTCTTGTTTCCCATGCATTTGATCATGGTATTGTAACTGTAAGTAATGACAATTTGGTCTCCTTCCTTCCTGGTCTTAGTGCGTTGACCAGGACTTCCTGTGCTCTGTCAGAGTGGCAGCGCTACCAAGGCATTCCTGTCTTCTCAGCTTTAAGGAATTGCATCTAAATGTTTGAAATTAAATTTGCTGATTGTAGTAGATCAGTGATAGAAAGCATTCGAATTTTCTTCTATGCTTTTCATGCATTTGCTGAGATAAACATGTAATTTTTCTCCTTTCGTTCATTAATGTGATAAAATGTTAGTGGTTTTATATTTTCTTAAACAATTTTCCTTGAGTGGGCCCTATTTGGTCATATTTTATGCTTTTAATTCATTATTGAATTCTGATGGCTGATATTTTAATTAGGATTTTCATGTTCATGTTCTTAAGTGAAATTCGTCTATAGACAGTTTCATCTTCTTGAACTGGATTTGATATTAAGACCGTACGAGCGTCGCAAAATGAGTTAGATTCTTTCTGTTTTTTTAAATTATTTGTGCAACAATTTTTGTAAAATGGAGATTCACCGTAAAACAGACCTTCTCCCAGTTTTCTTCCCATGAGTAAATTGCAACCAGTATGAAAACAGACTCGTCTTTCCTTTACAGCCACTTTTGATTTCTGAGCAAATCATACTGGAGGTACCTTCACAGTACATCTCAAACCCAGAACCGCCCCCCCCCGCCACTCCTGCTCTCACCCCTGTGCTGTGAGGCGCATGTCTCGATGATGCCACAACCCCCATCTGGTCTTGTTTTACCTCCTTGCAGCTCATTCTCAACACTAGCCAGCACCCACTTGCAGCATAAACCAGCTCACATGACTGCTGTAATTGCCTCCTATTTACCCCATTGATGAGGAAGGGATTCCCCCCTAAACTCATGGGCATGACTAATAGTCAGAGGCATGAC